CTAATCATGTTAAACCTTTGGTCATGTTTAACCTTTCTGTGAAGACTGAAGAAGAAAAGGCATGGAATATGTTAGCTTTGCCTGCGTCATCTGCAGTTTTCTCTCCTTGTTAGACTTACCACTATGCTTTGCTATGGGAGCTACAACCCATGCTTTCTTCTGCTTCTGTTATGAATTTACAAATAACGGGAACAATATAGTAGTAGTGACATGTAAAATTTGTCAAAAAAACCTAGATTACATTGGAGCTGAGCAGCCTCTTCCCTTCCTTCAGCAGCAGCTGAGAAGGGAGGTTCTAGGTGACTGCACCTGCAACTAACTGAATCGTGCCAACCTCCCTTTCCTTGAGAAGGAAATGTAAAGTAATTGCCACGTATCCAGTTTAGGCGACTGATTTCCCTCTTTGAAATTAACTGCCCGTCTTCAATGCAGTCTCACAAAATTAGAACTAAAGATCCATTTTCAGCAGTATTTTTTTCCAGAGTGTTGAATATACTGATGTTAGATATAAGGAGCTGAAAAAATGCTATGCTGCAAAACTCCCCTTGCTCTTCCAAACCAAAGAGTGTCTAGAGTCTGGTTTTGCCATTGCATTTGCAAAGCTGGACAGCCTATATTCATCTAATCAAGTTACTTCCTTTCCACTGCTGTAATCTTCAGTGTAACTCCCTCTTGTGCAGTCAATGTTCCTGGAGGAACAATATACATTTTCCCAAATTATTCATCATCTACATCCTATTTCTCACATTTATATTGCCAAGTGATTTGCAATTCATTTTCTGACATTTTTGGTTTACTTTGTTTTGGAGTTCTGCTCAACAAAGCCTGCCAAAAGCATTCCTCAGAAGGCTAATGAACTTGCTAGAATAGCAATCACTCTCTTAGAAACCTTATGCCTATTTTTAATTTGTATTGACTCTGAGACATCCAGATAATTTAGCAAGTTTCATGACCGACATGAAGACAAACACTCCTGCTGACTTGTACATTCAGAACAGCCATTAGACCACACTTGCTTATGGCTGGAAGGGGGGACCCAAACAAAACAGACTAAACAAACCTCTTTTCCAGTGGAACCACAGTTAGTAAAAACTTTAGTTCGAGATGAAGAATAACTGCAATACTGGTACTATAGGGAGTTTTACAAAAAGCTGAAATTCATGTAGCTACTGTTGTCCTGATACCATCAGACTCTCATTGCTTTTTTCTTTTCTAAATAGAGTAAAGTAACAGAATTAATTAAGCCAATAGAATTAATTAAAGCTAAACCATATTATCTAGTTAGATGTAAATGGTAGATAATATTATATTACAAGCTATCATGATGTTATATTTTCCCAATAACACTTTAAATATTAATGCACGAGACCTGCTTGTCTGTTAAATATTTATTCTAAGGCATAAATGTACTTAGAAGTCTAGCTCCCTTCAGAAAATAATAATTAAAAAAAAAGGCAAACGTTATGGCAGTAATTTTTAACACTGGAATTGACCAGTAAAGCAAATAGCAAAAAAGGCCATTGATTCTCTTACAAATTAATCTGGTGACTACATTCCCAAAGATTAAACACGCTATTCATTTCGTACAGCCTAAATATACAAGAGAATGTTTTTTATAAACATTTCTCATATTACGCAATACTCTGCCATGGCTACTAACCTTAACGTCAGTATTTCTTTGTTCATGTATAGAACAAGAGACATTAAACAATAACAGTTAGTGCTCAAGTCATACAAGCTGTATTCAACATGATGAATATACAAGCTAGACATGTGTGGCGTTTTAGGAAAAAATGACATGCATATTCATAAAGTACTTGATAAATAAGATGGAATTAATACGAAATAAAAAGGGGAAAGTTGAATATAAGTGATATTCAGCTACACATGTGATGTGTAATGTTAGATTATCTGCTTGCTTATTAAAAAGGAATCTAGGAGTAGTTAATGCTACTTAAGCAAAACAAATGACTGTGACTCTCTCATCACATTACAGAATACCTTCAAAACACAAACACTTGTTTGCACAGTCAGGCTGTGCTCAGAGGCATTCTGAAATCGGAAGGGCAAGAAAATAAGCAGCAGCCACAAACACTGGAGTTAGTTTAGACTTGGAAGTACTCAAGGCTTCCAGGCATGACCTGATAAATCCACACAGAAATGTGCCATACTATGTGAACTTGTCAGCGCTAGTCTGGAGATCTCCATATTATGCTCTATTCAATTGATGACAAAAACCGCAATTGGCCCTTGAAAGATTTAAAGAAATATGGTACTGCATGGCAAAATGAAAATCCGTAGTGTGTGTGAATACTTGAGCACATAATCGTGGAGAAGCTCAGGAAGAAACAAACCTTACAAATGTGTTCATTCTATTCATTTCCTAGACTCCTGCTGATGGGTCTCTGCAATAAAAAGACGCACTCTATACCCTCTCCTAAGGTAAAAAAGGGACAGTAAAGTGTTACTGATTTGGAAATGAAAACATTGTTGTTTATCTCATTAGAGTTTCATGAACACAGGAGAAAACAGTTTATTGACAGCCTTCTCAGAAGTGCTTTGGCTTCAGTTGAGATGTTCCTTCAAAATGGGGTTTTGGGGTGACTGCAGATAAGTCTGTGTAGCAAGAATACTTAAAAGTCTCTCTGCTGTTCTGTACTAAATATATGCTCCAAATTTCTTCACAGCTTTTCTTACCAAAACATAGTAGGATAGGGCCTTTGCAGCATTTTATGTTTGACTATTCATCCTATTTTTATATATGTGTACACACACACACACACACACACACACACACACACACACACACACACACACACACACACAAATACCTTCACACATACCAGATATACACATATAAAAATCTAGGTATACATTTTAGTATAAATGTACTCTCTATATATGTGTCTGTGCGTGCATATACACACACGTGCACACATTTTTATCTGAACTCTAAATATAAGTTACTCTTTCAGATAGTACACAATTTTCCAGATAAAATCAAATCCTTACTCTAACTAAACCTGTCTAAATCTCAGCAGGCATGTGTAGAAGTACGCTCTCTTTTCATATAAAGTAAATATGCCATACCCTATTCACAAATAACCAACTGCTACCTGGATACATCACTATCAGAAACAAAGGTAAAGTACTGTAGAGTCCAACCTGGAAGTAAAATTTGGATACACGATGCCAATACCAAGGTTAACATGTCATGTCAAATACAGATACATCAAGTTTAAGGAGCACCTTTCCTTAGGGAGCACCCTAATAATAAATTAGTATCAGTATCTTTATGTGCTTTGTAATACGGCTTTCTATAAAACTGCCCTTCCAAATGGGTTCTTAAATCTATGTGCTAGCATAAAATAAAGCTTTTCATATCATCTATTATCTTGTTTTGGGATAAAGAAAATTCACTCATGTATTTAAACCGAGATGATATTCATGGACAACTTCTGCTGTATGAAAATGGGGTAAGTGCACTGAAACGCTTTCAGGCAAGAAGCCAACAATCTCCATGCGTTATACAGAAGTGGCAGAGTGATTTTTTTTAAGGCACACCTGCTTTAGATGAAAGAAATTGAATTCCAGCTCCATAACTGTCAAGTGCCACCGCAAATAATAGAGCCTAAGCCAAATCATTTGAGCAATATAGCTATTTTCCTGTTGAAGCGACGGAGCAGAAATCAGCCTTAGGTAGATGATATCTTTTTATGTGCATGCTTTGGAAACAGTACCATTCATCATTTCACTGCTTAATCCCTTTCAAAACCATGTTCTTCATCACCTGGTTAATAAAAACTTTGGTCACCTAAGTCAAAACCATGAAAAAATGTGGATTGTGATTTTGCCATAATTAAATAAAAATTCCAAAGAAAATACAGTAACTACATTAAATAATTTGAACACTTGCACATAATATTTCTTGCATGACATGCATAAAGCTGTTTGTTATATAGTCCCATAAGCAGCTGAATATTCATTTCCTGTTTGCAGCTCCCAATAGGATGAAGATAACATAACAGCAGGACAATGAAGACAATCATTTGGATATTGGTAATCTGGCACTGCGCACATTTTTTGTTCAGGAAGATGCAGTGTGAAGAAGTTGCTAATCTTCTCCTTTCTACCCTTATATAATCATACAGAAGAATAAAAATACCTTATCATACATCAAGAAATCTACCTTTATTTCTAAAATTGCCTGTCATGGCAAGGTTCAAATTCATTTTCTGTAGCTGTAGTTACACCATCACAATGACTGCACCTGACAACAGCAAAATTTTAAAATGATACAGACTATTTTATAAAGATTTCAGTGCCATGTTATCCTGCTTTCATTAAAATTTGGAAGGCACAGATAAATTGCCTCATTTCTTCTCATTTTTTAGGCAAGTGTATTTATCCATAATCTAGAGAAAAGGGAATAAATAAGAACCCGCTTGCACCAAGAAATTTCAGAGACTACTGACAGAAAGGCCTCAATGATGTTTAATTAACAGTAGCTCCACTCTGTAGTATCATTGAGCTAACTGAGTAACTGAACAACTGCTAAAGCCAAATGCTTTAGTTTTCTAAGTTGCTAATGTGTCAGCAGTTATTTAAGATGCTGGATTTTCCCCCAGTGCTCTGAATTGGAGATATCAGTACGGTATCTGTTGAAAAGTTGGCATTTAGTTGCCTCTACCCCGGAGTTCTCCTTCGCTCTCTGTAATGGTTACAAACTGGCCCTGAGTGAGTCAACAAGCTTAACAAGGCCCCATGTAGCCACGGTACTTTAATCCCTGGGAAAATTTTATTTCAAAAAAATTATAAAAAGATTTATAAAATTAATTAGCTTTTCAATCATATGCTTAGTGAAATACTGGAAAATCTAGGTGGTCTCAAAAATGTCTTCATCTGAAAATTCACATTTACAGAAACCTACCCTCATCTCATCTAGCAGTGGCTAAAAGACAAGCAGCTCCAAGTTGGACAAGCTCCAACTACTTCTGCACACGAAGTGGTATGGACATGGGATGGAATAACAGCAGGAAACGCAGGGGGGAAAGAGGAAGGAGTGCAGGAAGGGAAAAAGGAACCCAATTATAAGTTCACTTGGAAGTAATCGTTTTAAACTGTCACCTCAGACAACTTTCATGTTCAGTAAGGTAAATCCCAAGCCACAGTCTGGGAATTCACACTCTCTTTTCATTTGTCTTACGGGAAAATTTAGAGCAACTATAGATCAAAACCACAGTGTCTTGACAGAAGAATGCACAGCTTTGACATTTCCTCACTCTTTGAGAAGTAACAGAAAGGGAATAATCATACAACTAAGGATTTTCTCATAGAACCTTCAGGGTTGCAACAGTAACTAGGTGGAAGATTTGATCTGACCCTTACTGTCAATTTATAAGAATAAAAGACACTTACTGTGAGACCTCTGAATACTGCAAATTAAGTGTTGAAAAAGCTTGGAAAAACTGTTGGTACTATAACTCATGGAAACATTCCTCCTCCTTTTTCCCTTACTCCTAATAGTAGCAGATTTTTTTTTCTTTCTACAGCTACCTTTGTGTATAGCAAGATGTTTTAATTGTATTGAATACTGTTTTCCAATAAATGATTTACTATTCTTTATTTCGGCAGTTTTTCCTTTCATTTTGTGTTATGAACTTCTCCAATGTAAATAGTTTGCCGAATGTAAAAGAATGCAAAAGCAAATTACACTTGCCACCCACTCCTTGCATGTTTTCTACTAAACACATAGATAGATGAAGAACCAATCTTCAAAAATAATGGATTTATTTTACTAAATTAAAAAAAAACATAATTTCCTACTGATCTGGATCACAATTAGTAATGTTAATATGAAGTTACTTTTTTAATACTCACTTTAACTGTTCTAGGAAGACATTAACACTAAAGCAGAACGTTGGCACCAGATGAATATCTACAAGATTAAATTTAGGGTGGCAATTATGCCTTTCTTGAAGTACAGCCCCAATCAATAAAATAGATTCCTATTACGTTGCCTCCATAATGTCTACAAGAGACAGTGCTAATGAACAAAACCTCTTGCCAAGATTGGATTTGGAAGCTTAAAACAGCTTTCAATGTCTTCCAGCTTCTCACTGCACTTCTAGAAATGATTATCTAAGACAATGTACATCTCGAGGTATTTTTAGAAAACCAGAAAGTTATTTTGCATCTCTGAAGACAGTTTAAGTGTCATTACAAAACAGAAAAAATTGCTTATTGCTGATAAATGCCAACACTCAGATCCTAGTATCTAAACTGAAACTACAGGTAATCTCTAGATCACGTCAGTTTAACATTCCTTCTTTTGAGGATAAACTTTGGCACTGTCTCTTTTCTCTCAGCCACTTCAGCACTTAACTGATTTTCCTCCCTTCCTCCCTTTGCTAATAAGCCACCATATATGATAATGATTATATTCTTAGCCTGTGTTTTAAACACTATACAGAATAAAATGTAAGAGAAAAAATATTTTGTACAGAAAAAGTTTATATCTTTATATGTTTTATACCTTATTGAAAAATATTGTCTACCCTGCTGCAAATATACAGTTTTATTTTTCTAAACTTTGTCCTACATTTATAAGCCACTTCTTATTGTTACATGTCCAAAGACTGTCACAGCCAGTTTTACTAATTGCACTGTATCAAAAAATGTATCAGTGCTGTACAAAGTTAGCTACTAAAAATCATGAGTAAAGTCTTTATGACTTCCAGTACTTTGTTTCCCAAAACTTTTTTCTAAATCCTGTTAAAACCTCAGTATAAATTCAGTACAAGAAATCATAATTTCTTGTTATGGGAATAACAAACAGAACCAGGAGGCAGAAGGGGAAGTGTTTGGATTTTTTGCTTAATGTAAACCTTTTTAAGAGGACTACGGGCAAATTTAACTTACCTGCGGCTTCTAATGTTTGTTTATGTAGACGTTTGAATATTAAGGCCCTAGTTACATTCTTTTGGAATTGTCATTTGTGTATTTTCAAAAGAAAAGCTTGCACTAATACTTTTTCTCCACCACTACTAACTTTTGCTGAAAAGATGGTGTTTTTACATGTTTCATTGAACATACACGTATGTGTTCACATACATGAGTATCTCCATAGTAAATGGGCTGAAACACTCTTAGAAATTGCTATAAAGCAAAGAAAATGCTTTTAATGGAAAAAAAGCCATGATATAAAAATTAAGGTTTTTTCCTTATATTAGGAAGTGCAATATATTATGAAATAAATTAATCTACTCCCTGTGGAATAGATAGCAAGATATTGCATCTTAATTTCTTTTAGAATGAACTGAGTTTTTCTCCAGATATGTACCACTTTCAGAGGCCTGCAGATTTAATTCCTTGGTTTATCCATAAGGAAGTACAGCAGCTGCTCAACAACAGAAGCCACTAATCCTATCCTAGAGAGACCACCCATAGTGGAAGGAACTGTAATCTGGTCTCCACGTGTATTTAATGCTTAGCTTTCCTGTTAGAAAACCCTGTTCCACATGGATCACTTTAAAAAACAGCAGATGATGCATTGAAATGAGTACAGTTTTGGGCTCGATTCAAGTTGATGACATACTGAGAGGTTCTGCCAACTCATATATCATGTCCCAAAATAAAAGACTTCATAATACTACATATACATAAATAAACCCATATACAATTACACAGGAAATTATTTTCACTTTAGATTATTTAACTATAAGAGCTGTAGAGCATGACATGCTCTGTGGGCCTGTAACTACATCTTTATGCTCAATTAATTTTTTACTATTAACCTCAATTAGAAAAGGAGTAGGACATATACATGGTACGCATAACAATATGTTAACATACATAACAATATGTATGCTTAAGATTACAGTTTAAACTTCAGAAAACAAATTTATATTCACAAGCTCTGATATAGCCTACAGCTGTCATATCCAAATTAGAGTTCACCATTAACAAAGTTTTCATTGCACCAGTGCTTGAGAAACCGAGTTCTGGATTTGATCCTCTTGGATCAACTGCAAGACACGTTTACAACAGAAAGAAGGTCTCTGCCTTAACGGACATAGACCAATGTTATCTGTCTTCTACATCGTTTCCTACTTTTAGTAGCTGAGAGTTGGAGAACTTGAATTTAGGCCTGTCTCCCACAGGAAGAGGAAATTCTGATATGGGTTCACTGCATTTTCCAGTGCAATGTATTAATATAAGCTATAACATTTTGAATAGATGCAGATAAATCACCATGCAGGAACTCTTCTTGCAGAGAGACCTCTTCACCCCCAGTGAAATCAGGTTCCTCTGACACAGCGCATACCTGTCTTAATTTTGGTGCTCATCTCCCTCAGCTTAGAATTATGGCTCAGATTTGTTCTTTTATGCTCTTAACTAAGACAAGACTCTTCTAGGCGTGCCTTCTTTTCTTCCACTGACTGCATGAATCACAGACTACTCAGTTCCATATTAGATATATTAGTTGGGCTCTTCTGATATGATAGAATTAGGCTCTTTTTCTTTCTCTTCTATGTTGGAGACAGCTCTGTTATTCCCTTTCCAGCCACTCTATTAAAACTGATCAAAAAATGAAGAGGACATCCTGAGGAAAAAAAACTAACTAGACAAATTCTCAGTCTGAAACAGAAAGAACTTTTATTTTAATGATAATTTTATCAAAGATGTCTGTACTAACTTTACTCTCTAAATTTTACTCCTCTGTCATGATGGTGCTCCCGATAGAATCAGCTAGTTTTTCACCTGATTTCTGTGATGTCTTGTTAAGACTTTTTTTTGCTGTTTAGAAGTCATTTCAGTTTAGACATGTAACTTGCTGGCATTTCCACTATAACAGGAAGACAGGAATAACTGTTGTGAGCAGTTTACCAAGAGAATCCAGAGATCAGTTTGCCATAGTGCCACAGGAAGAAAGAAACATACTACAGCCTTACCTAGTCTTCACTTCTTTCTTTTTTTCCCCTGAAGCCTCTTTCAGCATGTGTTACCCATGACTGATTTATCAGATTGTTAGTGCTGTCAGAGTCTGTGTCAGGCACAAGACAGATTTGTCATAATGGTGCAGCAAACCCAGATTACTCTGTTCAAAAGCTGCATGCTTTTCCCATACTCTGCACAAATCTTCTGATAGTCAACAAAGAGTTTATTACTAACATTAATGTGTATGTCTCAAGAGAAAGAACATTCAGGCCTTAGTGATCATCAAGCTTGTTTATCTCAAGTTTTAACTAAGCCAGGTGCACTGGAAAAATTTCTCTGGGCACAAAATGAAGCAGCCTATCTGCTTAATACCACAAGCCACTATCCACCTAATACTTTCATTTGCCCTTTAACGCAGAGACCATTTCAAAAATCTTTCTTCTGCTATTAAAACACTTTTACAAGCTTATGCCCTTATAAACCTTGCAATCATTTTCCCCTCAACAGCTGTGACCTGCCATCATTTTACAAGACCAAATTACTGAAGAAGACTGGAGGTCCATGAAGGCAAATAACATGAAGAACTGGCAGAGATTTTCTGCAGGAGATAAAAATGTACCCAAGTACTATTCACACACAAAATGAAATTCAAAACTTGCTTTCTTCTCTATTTCTTAACAAGTGACAAGAAAATAGACAAAACATTTATTTAAAAAAAAAAAAACTCCTCTTAAGAAGGAAACTGTTTCTGCAACTTCTATTTGGAAACATCTGAGAATGAAGATACAAGTTAAGAGGCATAAAGAGAAAAAAAACGAATTGCTTTAAAGACCGTAGCTAGGAA